CTGTGTCTTTTTTTCACGATTTTATTTTTTTGCTCATTTGAAGGTTTTTAAGGTTGTTGGAAAAAGATTATTTTTTTGTATATTTTAATTTTGCTCATCTTTCGTTTAAATGTATACTCATATAATCTTTTGTAGCGTTTTTGCATCGTATTTGTGTCTACGATTTACCTCAAACATGGGTACAGTTAAACCATTAATTTTTTTGTACAGTTTGTAATTTGAAGAATATGATGTATACTTTAATTGAGTAGGATAAACTTATTGTTGACATGCGATGGTAAAAAAATAAAAGTGTAAGTGACTGGATAAGCAAGAGGAGAAACGTCTATTTACACATTTGCTTTGCAAAATTTCGTCTAGGTAATTTTTCCTCGACAACAACGGTTTAAGAAGCTCAAGAGTCAGTGAAACTTTTTTGAAGAAGGAGAGGCAATTGAGGACAGTCAGATGGGTCGGGCAATTTTCATACTTCGAATTTGCTGAGCTTCAAGCCGTGGAATGAAGGCCCAGTCCTTCTGAATGCCCTTTCTTGTTGTGGTCTTGAAGAGCCAGTCTGAAAAACGATCTGCTCCTCAAGCATCTGCGGCGCTTTGGTAGTATGCGGGACAACCATCGTGCAAGTGCGTGAGAGCATCGTGCTTTTCCGAGAGCAGATGTTTTATTTGGCAAACAGGTGAACATTGCTTGCATCCCTGCAGAGGTTTCATGACCCTTGTGATTTAACACGAGTGCAACTAGAAGAGTGGAAAGAAGGTATGGTGGTTGCAGCAGTACATTGTTATTTAATGCTTTCATCTGAATATAGTTCTGGTTGTGGAGAACTTTCTAAAAATCAGACTGTTCTAAAATGGCGACCTATTTACCTTGCAAAAAAAGTGAAATTGAAGCGAATTGAAGGTAAGTGAAAAAGCTACGTATTTGTTTTATCTCAGGCATTTTCAACGCAGGTGGTAAGTGGCATTTGTTTTGAATAGCTCCTCCCCACAAAAATTGTTGTGTAATTACTTAGAAAATTGCGTAGGGTCTCTAATTGCTCATTGTGTACAGATTTAAGTTTGCCCCAGGTAAACTAGATGGTGCTTGTACACGCATTGTTTCAAAGCACAGAGTTCAGAAAGAAAAAACGTAGAAGCGGAGTTTCTTAACGCATGAAAAAAATCTAGAAGAAAACCCTTAATTTTTAAAAAGAAGTGAGTAAAGTATTTTGAAAATTTTAAAAGTTTAAAGGCGGAATCCCTCGAGTATTATTGAAAATTCAGCAGGCAAAGTTGTTCGGATTTCGCAGAAAATTAAAAGCGTATTGGCCGATGCCGGTTAATTAGTTGAGGACCACTAACGATGAGGCCACTAAACTGAAATAAACTATGGAAATTTACGTGTCAAGTGACACTGTGCATAGCATAAAATTTTTTCAAATCGTTTTCCAAAAGTAAAAGCGAAATCAGTTTGAGGCAAGACGAGCCCAACATGTTACTGAAATGGTGCAATCAGGATTCCCAGTCTTCCGTTTTGCAGCGGTCCCACTGTGTTAATTCACAATACTTTACAGGCTACTCCTGATGGCGATTTAGCTAAGCTTCTTAATTAGAAGTATTACAGCGTCATAGTCTACAAACATTTAATCAGGTACTACTACACTTTGCAGTTTTAAAGCTGCTTAAATTTTTATTAGTTCTTTAGCTTCGTGCAGTAACCATCGAAATTTAATGTCGTCTAAAGATCTACCACAGTAATTGTCAAGAATTATTGAGAGTACCAATTATTTGTATTGTTTTCAATTTCTTCACAAGCACTCAAATCTAAAACAGACACAGCTGTAGAACAGTCTTCGATCTGGTACAAATTTATCAGGCCTTTGGATCACAAGTTTATGAATTTTAGTGAAAACAAAACTCGTAAACTTTATTTTTATGGAACAGTGGCATCAGGTTCAACAATCAATCCACGTAACAACAGTTTGGTTGAAGTTTATTCACTGAAATTTTGTATCACAATATTTTTTCCAACAATGTGCTGGAAGTCTGAGCTAGGAGTGAAGTAAAGCAATAATTTTTACTTTTTCTACACTTATTACAACGTGGAAGTCACATCGTCGTTTCTCTGAATTGTCTACTCCCAATTGCTATAAAACCAAATGAATAAGCAACGTTCAGTATTGGTGCAGAATTGGGCGTGAAGTGTAAGAAAAGAAATTTTATTTCCTCTGTTGAATAGCTGTCTTAAACTTGAAAGTGTCCATAAATCTGATCGACTGTTTCACTGCAGTCAACAATTACTGTCTGCACCAATATCCTAAACAGATCGGATAGAACGAAATAATTTTTCTGTTTTTTGTATAACACATTAACGAGACTTTTTCTAAAAATTGTTGCAACAAAAACAAACAAAATTTTCTTTTTTTATTTTTCTTTCTCAGCGCAAACACAAATCTAAAGCACAGCATGTCGTAAACTACGGCGGTGAAGTAAAGTCATTGAAAAATATTCCGCTTTTCATTGCCCATCGGTAATACCGTTCATCAAAGGTTTGAAATGGCAGTATACAATTTCCTATTCTGGCCACGCAGTACTTACACTTTTTTCGCGGTAATCCCTCATTTTGTTGGTAAAAGCGGTACGCGATTCCGGATGTCAATGTGAACAGTATTGAAACGAGAAACAGAATAAGCACTGTTAGCCCTGAAATTTGACTTTCAAGACAAAAAGAAGTGCTGCAAATTTTTCAGAAAACTTTTTCGAGAAAAAACAAAAATCAAAAATCAAGATGTAGTTCTCTTGAAATTTCGTAGAATTAGAAATTAATGGAAACTTACATAGTTTAACCACCGGCTCTTTCAGTTTGCGGTCACGCAAGTAAGCTTTCAAATTTTTGATAGCTGAGGAGTTCTGCGGGAGTTTGACAGCTGTAGAAGTGTAGCCAGTTGTAGTTGTAGAATCATTATAGTCACCGGAGGTTGGTGAAGAAGAGAGTTCATTCTCGACATAGCTTGGTAAAAATGCCATTTCAAAAGGGTAGTATTCAATTAAAGTTAAATAATCTTCGAATAAAGGAGCAAGTGCGTCGGTTTCGCGTTCAACTGTAGTTGTAAAAGCACTTGAAAAACCGTTATTTGTAGAGTCAGATTGTTTTTTAGCTACAGTTGTAGTACTACTCAAAAAGGGAGCAACTGCTGCGGATATATATTTTTCTACAGTTCTCGAAACACTTGAATCACTGTTATTCGTCAAAGAAGAACGCCTTGTAGCCATAGTTGGAGCAGCGCTCAAAGGAAGGGTAACTTTTGCAGGCTTTTTTTCACTCATAGTGTGAGAATCACGAGAGACAGTAGTGACTGTAAAGTAAGAGTGGTCAGCAGTGTGTGTAGAATCGTTTTCACTCTCAGTGATTGTCAAAGTGTTTCGATCAAGGCCATCAGCGAAATCAGGAGTCTCAGAGGTAAATTCAGTGGCTCTAGAAGCTAAGACATCTTTAGCTTCTTCAGTTACAGGCGTTGTGAGAGGTGTAGAGTGTTTTTGTAGGTCCTGAACTGCTTCTGGGTTATGCGGTAGCGACACTTGGTCTGCCAAACGTTTTCGGAGTTTATGAGTTTCATTGTCTGCTTCGTTAACTAGAAGTATGTTGGCAACTAATTTTTCCTGAAAGATTGCAAATAAATTTTAGAGCTTTCGTGTCAAAATTTTTATGATCGAAATTCTTGACCAGTAAATCATTTCCGTACTTTTATTAATTTTTAGGCTTTGCTAAACAGCAAGCTAAGCAGTAATAACGCAGCGATAAAAGAACGTTAGAAATATTTGATACATTAGAGCGGATTATACATGTTATGATCTTTGTGTGAAGTTCAACACCAGTTATGGAGTCTAAAAAAGTATTAAATGGTCTAATGACACAGAAGAATAATATGGTGTTGTCAACAGCAAGAATGACCCTCCAAGTTAAAGTGTCTTGAACTTTAACTGTAATACGAATTCATAAAAAAGTGAAGATATTCTTAGGGAAACGTGAGCGACAGCGTTTTTTAACAACGATTTTTGAATAAAAAAGCAAACTCCTCTGCTGACTCTTTTTACGTTATCCCTTTTTATTCAACGTCTAAAACGATTTTCGATCAAACAGCTAGGAAATTGAATGCATCTGGTTTTTTTCCCCGTGAACTGGAAATGTTGAGGAAAGTGATAAAACATTTAAAAACTTTTTTTTTTACCTAATGTTAAGATAAAGACAAATCATTTTTTTACACTGCATCTTATTAAAACGATTTGTTTATTTCAGGAAATCTTTGAGTTCCATTTAAACAGTAGGTTATTCAAACTCATGCCACTTGGTTTTACAAAATAGTTCTCTATCTATGAAAAAAATTTTAGAGGGCGATTAAGAGAGTTAACTTTAGTTCCTTCACCGCAAAGCATGAATTCACGTTTGATTAACTCATTCTAATAGCTCTATAATTTGAACGTTAATCATATTTTTTAATGTATGAACTACTATAACACGGAAAAATTGGTAGCTGCAAAAAACTACTTAAATGACGAAAAATTAACAACTCGATTTTGAACCTCTGCCACTGTTGGTGTGGGGCTGTCGCTGTATATTACGCGAACGCATAGCACGACTGTGCACATTCCAAGCAGAATTTTTTTCAACTGCAGTCTTCTGCTTGAATTCGTGATGCGATTCTGAAATAGTTTGCTCTTCAGAACTGTCATTTAAAACTTACAGTTGCGGAAGACAAGACTGTAACATCACCAGTATTGTGCTCCTTTTCTAAGGATTGAAATATTTAACCATTTACAGGTGTTTTAACCCTCCTGTTCATTTTAAGTTAGGTAAAAGTCGTGTAGATTAGCTGGACATCTGCAACTAGTGGTAACTCGGCTAATCTTAACAAGCAGGTTTAACTTATGTTAATTGATATATCGATCATACTGGTCTAAATTTACACTCTTTACTTTAGTTACAGCAGTGATTTTCGAAGTGAGCAGGGTCGTTTTGCCTAAGTAGACAGAGGATGACAAAAGATATGATAATAGCCTCCAAAGTTTCGGACTATTGACAGAGGCTTTTGCTGACAAATGAATGGCTTGATGTTTAAGGTTTGTTTTGAAATGTGTAGCGGACTGTATGTAGGCTTTTCTAGACTCAATTAACGCATTTCTGAAAATCGTTTGTTTTTTTTTTTTCTCTTAATCGAGGATTTTGATTGTAGTATAATATTATTCAAGTAGTACTCCTGGTAACTTCACTCCACATTTCTACAACCCTCTATCAAAATTTGAATTTCAAATTAT